TGTTCAGGGCGCTGTGTGCAGTGTGTTCAGGGCTCCGGGCGCTGTGAGGACAGTGCAGTGTGCGGTATGTTCAGGGCGCTGTGTGCAGTGTGTTCAGGGCTCCGGGCGCTGTGAGGACAGTGCAGTGTGTGGTGTGCTCAGGGCGCTGTGTGCAGTGTGCAGTGTGTTCAGAGCTCCGGGCGCTGTGAGGACAGTGCAGTGTGCGGTGTGTTCAGGGCGCTGTGTGCAGTGTGTTCAGGGCTCCGGGCGCTGTGAGGACAGTGCAGTCGGTGACTCTCCCCCCTCAGCGGTGCCTGCGGTCTGCACCCCAGCCTCTCAACATCACACGGGTTCGCGTCACACGAGAGTCTGGGGGTCGCGTGCACGGCTGAAACGCAGAGCGCAGCCCGGCTCGCGTGCCTGTGTCGTCACGGGAGCAGCCGGGCCCGCCAGGCTCGTGCCTTTGTTGTGTGCTAACGGCAGGTGCCAGATCGCTGTCTCGAGCTGGAGACACTTGCACTTCTAAAACTGCTCGAGCTTGAGCGAGATCGGTGCGTAACCCACGCGCGCACACCCCAGCAGCGAGAATTAGTATTAAGTGTTACAATCATCACACCCGGATATTTCCGGCAGTTTGGGGAGTTATTTCGTTGTGTGTTGTTTAATATCCGTGTGTCAGTGCACCTGTGTGTCTGTGATGGAATCGACGTTTTAAATGAACTCGCGGGCGTCGTCTTCTGCATCAATAAGTACCGAACTACTGGTGTGGGGCACGCGGTGTGGAGTCCCCACGAGTGAAGTCTGGTTAGTGGCACAGAGACAGGTGCGGTTTCTGTTGCACTGGGAGAAATACTCTAGGATTAGACAAGCATTTATTCCCCAAATCACACATCTGATCCCAGAACTCCCTCTCCTAGACTCCTCCCCCCACAGGGGGGAGGGAGTCTATCCCAGACAGCAATGGGCTCAAGGCAGGGTCCATCACAGGACACACACACACACACTCACACACACTCTCACCAGGGCCAGTCCATCACAGGACACACACAGTCACACACACACACCCTCACAGGGGTGTAGAGGGGTGTGTGTGTTTACTGGTACAGTAGGGTAGGGAGGTGTGTGTGTTTACTGGTACAGTAGGGT